CACTGGGGATCTTGTGTCCCAACGCACACGTGCCTGGCGTGAGTTTAAGCCATTGGGTCCAGGACTCGACCCATGGTCAACTACATGGGAGTCCAGCAACATAGCCATTACACTAACTGCTGGTCCCAGTGCCCAAAATTCTGAAAGGACAGTGTAGGAGAAGGGATTTCAGTGTAGCTAGCCCCCAGGGGGATTTCTTGCTTTCTGTCTCTATGTCTCTCTCTTCTCTGTCTCTCTGGCAAGTGCACATACCCTGTAGCAAAAATCTCTCTGAAAAAGTAAATGATAATTAATTAAATAAAGAAAATGAAGGTAATTGTTTCTTTAGAAATAGAAGTTTGAAATGCCACATTTCTACTATTCATAGGTAGATGACCACGCCGCAATTCCTTTTCCTCCATTCTCCTCTTGGGATTTTGGGCATGGACGCACACGCGCCCAGCGTGAGTTTAAGCCACTGGGTCCAGGACTCAAACTACATGGGAGTCCAGTGACATAGCCATTCCGCCAACTGCCGGTCCCCCCCAAAATATTCTTTACACCTGGCTGGTAGAAGCCATGTTTCTGTCTGGGCCCCTTGCATCCCATGGCTGGGCTCACGAGTGCCTTTCTCTGACTCTTGTCGCTGGGCTGACTAGCCTCAGGTCTGCAGAGGTAGGTGCTCCTCTTTGGTGCCCCCTTAGAGTGGTGGTAACTCGTTCCCTGTCCCCTGACCTTCTTTTAAATGGGAAGTTCTGCTAAAAGGCACAGGTGGTTAGGTTACGCACTCTGTGGTACGCACTCTCTACTTCTCGTGCCCCGTTGGGGAGTCCCCCACAGCCCTGCCCCCGGCGTACAGCTGCGCTCTGAGCTCTGACTGTCGACCAGAACGTAACGTGCTTTGTACCAGTCTATAGCCCTTGTCTAAGCTGATCGTTTTAAAGGACAATTAGTGCTTCCTGGTGATAAGTGCTGGAACCTTCCCACTTTATAGCACTTATCACCAGTGGGCCGTAGTATTTGCTTGTGAATTATTTTTCCTTAACTGAAACTATGAGGTCTGGATTGCACATGTCTTGCTCACAGTCGGGCTCTGCATCCAGCAGTAAGTGTTTGAAGACTGAATTGTGTTAATTGCGAGAAAGTGAGGCAGGTGCTATGGTCAGTGGTCTTCTGACTGCCTCCACCCCAAGCCGGTCACCTCGTCTTAGGGTGTTCTTACCTGAGGCTGAGGCCCCGCAGCCCACCCTTTCCACTGGGAGCTGGCAGGTGGAGTTGGCTGTCTCAGCCTCTCTCTTCGGCAGTCCTGCCTCCTCTCTCCTATCTTTTACCTTCCCACCACTTGGAGCCGCCCCGCATGCTGTGAGACTCCGTGGCTGCCTCTGAGCTTGTTCTCACTTATTTGTGAGGCTGCCCTCACCCTTTTCCAACTCTCTGCATAGATTTTGCATATCGTTTTTACCATAGCTAATGTGAGAAATGGCTTTCTGTCTGAGAAAAATCTATCTTCCTACTCTAGGTTGTTTAAATATCTGCCCTGAAAGATGCTTGAAGAGTAAGATAATAACTCACCCTAAGGGGACCAGCAGATGTCATAATGGTTACATCACTGGACTCTCATGCAGTCAACCATGGTTCAAGTCCAAGACCTGGCGGCTTGAAACTCATACCAAGCATGTGTGCATATGTGCCCAAAATCCCTTGGAGGAGAAGGGATTGCGGCGTGGCCATCCCCCCCAGGGGGTGGTTTCTTGCTTTCTGTGTCTGTCTCTCTGGTGAGCACACGCCCTATAGCAAACATTTCTCAGAACAACAAAAAACTCGCCCCAGACAAATGCACTGAGCAGTAGTAGCAGGTGTCATTGAAAGAGTTGTTCAGGTCCAGCTACCAGGCACACAGGTAGTACCTCTGTCGCAATTTTATTTATTTAAAATATATGTGTGTGTGTGTGTGTGTGTGTGTAGATCTTTTTGTTTTGAAGTACTCTTTGTTTCTTTACATATAACTTAAGCTACGTGGATTTCAGAACCCTTAGTTGACATTTAGACTTTACTCACATAGACACTGAACAGACAGTTACTTGTGGAGAGTTGATCTGGTTTTGCTTTGTTTTTCATTGCAAGAGGGCACGTCTGCTTGCCAGAGAAAGGGTGAGGGGCAGAGCACCTCATCGGGCATAGTAGCCTCTCCGCCCCTTCTCTTCCGTTTCTCTCTCCTGTCTCGGTTTTGGACATGCGTGCACATGTGCCCCGCGTGTTTTCCAAGCTGCTGGGGCTGGGGTGCAAACCTTTCTTGACCATGACCCAGTTTCCTTAAGCACCAGGTTATGGGGTTGACCCTCATCTTCTTATTTATTATAAAACTATTGGGGCATCTGAAAAATCATGATGCATTTTTGCACAGAAAAATATGTCATGACTTTCTGACGACTCAATACAGTTTTAACCTGGGTTATTTCAGTTTTTCCTTAGTTTTCGTACTTAATGATACTTTTATAAAAATTTGCTGATGGCTCTGCTTTCCGTTCTCTTTTCCCATGTGGATTTAAGTGCCAGGTAATCGCATCAGTTCTAATTAAATGTTGCTTTTATCTTAATTTGCATAATGAGCTTTTCTTTTCCCCTCTCTTTTTAAAGGACCTTAAAGGCTTTGATCCAGGAGAAAAGTACTTTTATAACACTTCATGGGGAGATATTTCTCTCTGGGAACCTGCTGGAAAGAAAGGGGTATGTATCTCTGTGCTTGGTCTTTGTGTGCAGAAGTCAAGAGTAAGTGTAAGTGTAATCTGAGGGACACGGGCTAGGGTTGCTGGTGAATGGAGGAGGTGAGGCTATCATGTGACATTCAAGGGCCTGGTGATGCAGGGGTGTTTGACCTGAGCATTTTCTGCACACTGAGGCGACTCAGAGTTGTGCTGAGACCCTGGTTTGTCCTTCCTTGTGAGATGCACTACTGTGGAGGGTCTGGCGTGGAGCTGTCCCAAGTCAGACCAGCACTCCATGTTGCTGTGCACGTGAGTGTGCACATCGGTTTCCCAGATAACATGGGAGGGAGACCTCTGAGTCAGAAACCTCAAGCTTAAGCACATTCAAGGTAAAGCGTGGTCTACAGCCACGTGCCACATAACGGGATTCCGGTCAACATCAGGCTGAGTGTGCGCCGGTGGCCCTGCAGGTCACGGTGGAGCTGAGCCCTGTCCCCTGGTGACACGCTGTCGGAGCATCGTTATTGCAGCACACAACCTGTGGACCTGGGGAAGCCCGTGTGTGTAGCCTCACTGCGCTGTCAGCTATGGCAGAGTGCAGCCGCTCCTCCCCAGCTACTCCCTGTTTACCATGCTCAGACTCATGACTTCTCCAGTGTGAGGAAGTCCCCTTCTCACCTGTGAGTCCTGGGAATCCCCTCTCAGTCTCTCTGTTGTTCCTGCTGTCGGTCAAGTATCCGCTCTATGGTGTTTGCAGCCACACAAGACTATGTATTCCATTTGTAAATCTGTGCTTTACTGTGCACCCGTAGTACAAGATGATGGTAAAAGGAGAACGTGACTTCACCTGGAGGGAGTGCTGCGATCTGAAGGAAGCTTTATCTTGAGAAGAAAATGAAGATCATAAACAAATACAAAGCTGGTAAAAGAGTTAGAGCTATAGCACGTTATTTGGAGCTGGTATGTTCAAATGTTTCGATGACTCTGGAAGGCAGAGGTAGAGTTATCGGGGAATGAGAGCGTTGGTAGGCTCTAAAGCCATAGTAACTAGGTGGCAAAGCACCTTCTATGAAGGTGAAGAATTGCTGGCAGTCTGACAGCCAGATACCAAAAGGATGCTGATGCTCCTTTTAATAACTCAGGCCGGGGCACAGTGTCTTCAAAGCCCTGAAGGTGCTGAAGGGGAGAATCAACAGAAACACTACAGCAAGCCATGGGTGGTTTCAGTGGTTTGGCGCAAGATTCAGCCCGCATAATCAGAATATATCTGCAGTAAGGCGGCAGGCATGGGTGTGAGTGCCAGAAAAATGTGTTGATCAATCAGTAAAATTACTGAAGAAGGCAACTGACACCTGGAAAGGTCCTCAGTGTGGATGAAACCAGGTCCTTTTTTGGGAAAAAAATGCCTGGAAGGTGCTACATATATAAAGAAGCTAAAACAAGGTCCCAGTCTGAAGGCTTTTAAGGACAGGGTCACATTGTTGGGAGGAAGTTGAGGAAGAGCTCACTGACGGAGATGTACTGGAGCCGGAAGGGCAGCAGCACTCAGGAAGAGGAAGGAGTGGAGACGTGCAGAAGAAATTCACTGCAGAAGGGTTAGCTGGCGAGGGCAGCAGATGGTGTAATGGTTACATCGCTGGACTCCCACGTAGTCAGCTGTGGTTCAAGTCACAGACCCGGCTTAATACTCAGGCGGGTTGCATGTGCGTGCATAACCAAAATCCCGAGGGGAGAATAGAGGAGAAGGATTGCAGCATGGCATCCCTCTTGGGAGGTGATTTCTCACTTTCTCTGTTTCTCCAGTGAGCACATGCACCCTATAGCAAAAATCTCTCTTTAAAAAAAAAAAAAAGGCTTAGCTGGCATGTTCTCAAAGGTTAGTATAGCTCTGTTAGAACTAGAGGGCATGCGTCCGAGTGGGACACTTCATGGAAGTGGAATAGCACATGGAATTTATCATGAAATTTATGAAGAACAAAAGAAACTTAGCAGACTACGAAAACAAGAATATTTTTCAAAAGCTACACCCAGGGGACTCCTACTCTCGAAAGTACTTTTATTTTGTCACCATCATTTCCCGGGCCTCCAACAACTCCTAATAAGCCCAGTGATGACCCTGATGACCTTGAACTACTACCACACTTTGAGGGGTTCAATGAGTGAGAAATTAATCCAAATGTCTTTATGAAGGAACTTTGTTTTATAACTTTTGCTGATTGTATTTTTGTGTTCTATAATAGGTAAGAGATGCAAATTGAGACAAAGTTATCAAGGAGGCATTTCCCTTAGGCCATCTCACTCTTAAGAATAAAAAAATGATTTTGCCAGATGTATACTGTGTTGTGGTATGTCCATCACTATCTGATGTATGCTTTTGGTACAGATAGAATTAGATTTTCTAGTGTGGTGTTGCATGCTATCTATTAAAAAAATACATACCCTATGGTACCAGGACACCCCGTGAGACATTAACCTTTAAGCTCTTTGCTTATCAGCCAGCCTGCCTAACACCCTAGCTGCAGGCTGAGACCTGCTTGGCAAGCACGGAGCACCTGTGTCGCGGGTGCAGTTATGTATACAGTACAAAATACTGGGCTGCCAGAAAAGTCACGGCACATTCTTGCATAGGGAAATACATCATGACTTTTCTGACAACCCAATACTTGATAATAAGTAATATGTTACTGGTTTATTTACTGTAGTTTTTTTTTTTTTTTTTGAAAGATTTTCACTGTAGGGCGCGTGCGCTCGCCAGACAGACAGACAGAGACATAGAGACAGAAAGCGAGAAATCACCCCCAAGGGGGGATGGTCACGCCGCAGTCCCTTCTCCTCCATTCTCCTCTCAGGATCTTGGGCACGCACGCACACGCGCCTGGCGTGAGTTTTAAGCCACCGGGTCCGGGACACGAACCGCGGTCGACTACGTGGGAGTCCAGCGACATAGCCATTACGCTAACTGCTGGTTCCCTTTACTGTAGTTTTCATCATTATTTTAGAATATATTCCTACTCTCAAAAAAAGGTTGCTTTAAGATAGGATTCTGGGGTCAGCCCGTGGTCTGGTGGCTAGGGCAGCTGATACCACATAGCCAACCATGTAGTTCCAGGTCTCGCACCTAGATACTTGAGAAACATGTCAGGTACATGTATGTGCATATCCTAAAACCCAAAAGGAAGGAGAAGGGATTATGGTGTGACCAGTCCCCATGGGGAGTGCTTTCTCACTTTCTCTCTGGCGAGTGCATGTGCCCTGTGGTGTAGTCTTTTTAAAAAAGGCTTTTGTGTTACACCAGCAGTAGCCGCCTATGTCTTATGTTTGCTCTGCTTCATGACGGCATCATTTTCTCTTGTGTGATTTACCCTCGTGCTGTGCTGATAGTCATTCCTCAAGCAGACAGGACCTGCTGCTCGTGCTGCCAGCAAGTGGCCAGGTGGAGCAATGGACCTGGACCTGGAGTGAGTGAGAGCTCTGGGAGTAGAGAGTCAGGGTGGCTGCTGCTTGCAGTTTAGGTGTGGTTTCACCACAGCTGTGGTCCTGAAGAACAGAGTTAGGTGACAGACACTGTTAAAGGGTCTGCTTTCTTGAAGACAGTGGGACTAGCCGAAATTTTAGAAGGGCCATGTCAGACATGGGAAAGCGACTAATGGCTTGAAGACCACACACAGAAGCATGTCCCTCAGCACCATGACTGTCATGCCCACTGCAATGAATGTGCTGCTGTGTTGAATGAAAATGTTGGACCTAACTACAGTGTCAAATTTACTACTAAATCTGGTGGGGTTTTTTTGTTTGTTTGTTTTTCTTTTTTTGGGGGGGAGGTTTTTGCCATAGGGCACGTGCGCTCACTGGAGACAGACAGAAAGTGAGAAAGCACCCCCCAGGTGGGATGGCCACATCACAACCCCTTCTCCTCCATTCTCCTCTTGGGATCTTGAGCACACATGAACGTCTGGCTGGCATGAGTTTAAGCCACCGGGTCTGGGACTCGAACCGTGGTTGACTATATGGGAGTCCAGCGACATAGCCATTACTCCAACTGCTGGTTCCAAGGGACAGGATGACATCTTACTTGGGGGTAGTGTTACAGGCTGTAAACTGAAACTCTTTGTGACCTGGCACAGGCATATCAGGAAGCAGATAGTGGCATTTTATCACAGGATTGATAAGACATCATGGGTGACCCAGCTCCTTTTTCGAAATGCCTTCTGGAATTGCTGTGCCAGCCAGATAGAGAAATACTGCTTGGAAAATAACCTATTGTTTGAAATCTTGCTCATTGTTGCTGACACTCTTGCATCCTTTTGCTGGTTGTATTTATCCCAAAATCCAAGTGCTATTTCTCTCTCCAAATGCTGTGTCTGACCAGCATCAAGGAGTTGCAGCAGCTGTTAAGGCCTATTACTGGGCGGGAGGGAACTTGCCCAGCTCAGCAAGAACCTGTGCGATTCTAGAAAGAGCACACATGATTCCATCAGCAACCTTGCTTGCTTGGGCTTGGGACAGTGTCACCAAGGAGTTGTATGAATGGTATGTAGAGGAAAATGGTCAGTTTGTCCATGACCTCAGAAGACTTGCCGAGTTCAAGAAAGTTGCAGAAATCAACAAGGCCATGTCGCGATAGCAGACTGTAAACCTGGATGGAGGTAACACTGAGCAGTTCCTGGAGGTGGCTCCTGAAGGGTCAACTAGTGAGGCTCTTGGACTGGAGCAGGAACACCTAGCTGAAAAGAGAAGAGAAAAGGAGATAGCAGGAGAAGAAAAAGAACCACTATGAGCATTCACAGCGAAAGTTCACAGAAGCTTTTGCAGACCTCAGCAAAGTCCTTTAAAAGTTTGAAAACATGGACCCCAAATGGCAGAGGGATTCCATGGGGGTGTATTGGCTCATAAGCAGATCTATGATGAGAGAGAAATTGCTCAGAAATCGCCGTGGGAATGTCTCTGAAAAGAGTGGCACCTCCTCAAGAAGAGCCTCGGCAAGTCCCTCAGGAGGTGCCAGAGCAGGCCCTGGGATCACAGTTGGTGACAGCTCCAGGCGTGCTATGGCCTTGGGGACCTTTGACTTTCCAGTGGGACAGGCCTGGCAGTGGACAGCTGTGGCATTAAGGTCCCGGTACCTTGTAGACTAAGGCTGATTGCGTGTCTTAGTATCTTAACACACTGTTCACCTTAGGCCATACTGGCCTTGGGACTTGGGGCTTTTAAAAAAGTTCCTGTAGGGGCCCATAGGTGACATGGTGGTTAAGGTGCTGGACTCTCATATGGCCAACTGCAGTTCAAGTCTCAGACATGGCAGCTTGAGAAATCACATCAGGCATGCTTGTGTGTACCCAAAACCCCAGGAGGAGAAGGGATTGTGGCATGGCTGTCTCCCTGGGGGGTGATTTCTTACTTTCTCTCTTAATGTATCTCTGGTGACTGTCTATGCCCTGGGGAAGAAACTTAAGAACAAAAATATCTTCCTTTAGATAGTTTTAGTGGTGAACCCTCTTCTAGTCCCATTTTCTAGTCCCTCTGCAACCTCATACTCCTTCCTACCGTTAGACACCAACTTCCTTGGGACTACTGAACACTCAGCTCATAACTGTTGGAGTATATCTCGCCTTTAAGATCGACGTCAGGGATCTTATGCCTAATTGATTTTTAAAAATCTCTCTTCTTAAAATAACCCTGTAATGTAACATGCAGTATTTGTAATTATGTACTTTTGTCATGGGTTGCCAATGGAAAGAGGTAAAGGTTAGGGTTTTTTTTTTTAATTTATTTTTAATTATTTTTTATTTTCGCTATAGGGCACTTTGCGTTTACCAGAGGACAGAGACAGAAAGGGAGAGATTACCCCCCAGTGGGCTTGGCCATGCAGCAGTCCCTTCTCCATTCTCGGGATTTGGGGCATGCACACACACACATGCCCGTGTGAGTTTAAAGCCCCTGGATCCACAGTGGACTAAGTGGGAGTCCAGCGATGGAACCATTACGCCATCTGCTGCTCCCCAAAGTTAGGATTCTTTCCCTCAATGAGTGTATGTTCTTGTAGGGATGAATGAGACCTAGGCATAGAACGTCAGAGAGCAGTTTGAAAATGAAGATTGAATGTGTCACAGATAACATAGTCAGAAAGGGGGTTCTGCTTGACGTGGAGAGACCTGCGTCTGCCAGTCTTCATACTTCTGTAGGCTCTGAGGTGCCATCCTGCAGGGCTCTGTCTCTGGGGAGAGGCGGAGACGAGGTGCACCTCACAGAGGTGCACCGTCATCCTGGCTATGGCTCACACAGTGAGGTCCTTGCGTGCTCGGAGACCAGCGAGACTGCCAGGTTGAGATGGTGCCACAGCCATCTCCGGCAACGGGGCTGTATCGGGAGACCTGAGGGACCAGCCTCTGGGTGTGCTGGAGCAAGGACAGTCTGGAAACAGCCCCAGTAGCAGCGTGCAGTACTGTGACTTGCCCCTCTGTTGCCAGTGAACTGGTGTCTCACGCTCAGGTTGATTATTTCTGGCTGGTCGCTGCGAATGTGTTTGGGTAATTTTTCTGGCCTATGACCCAGTAGGAAAACCGCATAAACAGGAGAGAGCTAAAGGCAAAACTGGTGGGATGTGTGTGGGGATGGTGCTGCCACAGTGCCACAGCTGCAGGGCAGGTGTACCAGGTCTCACAGGGCCGTGACCTAGGCAACACGAACCAGTGAGTTTTTAAATTTTTAAAATTTTTGCTTGCTATAGAGTACATGTGCTTGTGGAGAGAGAGAGGGGGTGGAATGAGAAATCACCCCCAGAGGGGATGGCTGTGCCACAATCCCTCCTACTCTATTCTTGCTTTGGGATTTGGGGCATGCACATGAGCCCAGGATGATTTTCAAGCCACTGGGTTCAGGTGAAACGCGGTCAATCGTGGAAATGCAGTGCCAGTGCCTTACCTACCACACCACCTGCCGGCCCCACAAACCAGCGAACTTTCTGGGCGTGAGGACAGACTGCTCCTCAGCTGGCCCCCGTCATGTAGATGTCTGTCTTTAGGCCCACGCAGGTGAATCCCACGTGTGTGTCAGTGCGGTGTTCTGCAGCCCGTACCACACCCAGGGTGGCTGGTCGGGTGTCAGCCTAGCCACTCCTCCAGCAGGGTGTGCCAGCTGGTGCTGAACACTGCCTTCTCGCCATGCGGGAGGCCAGGAGGTAGTGATGATATCCTTCACAGATGGATGCCCCGTGAGTTGTAGGTGAACCCAGAGGTTTTAGAATGTGGAGCACAGGCAACATTGGAGCCAGGACAAGTGGGAAAAGGGGAGAAGATAACTCCTCCAGGAAGGTAACTGGGTTTATTCCAATTGATGCTAGTTGATAGAACAGGACTGTAGTGAGATTTGTGGCTTTAGCAGACAAATTAGGACAGAGGTCAGCAAACCGAGTTGCAGGCCATGTCCTGTTGTACAGCTCAGAGACTAAGGGTAGTTGGGTTTAAATGTGAGAAAAAAGAAAATGTGGCATGTGGCAGTTACATGGAGTCAGGGTTACTGGAGCACACTGTGCTGGGGACTCCGCATCACCCACAGTACGTCCACACCGCAGTGGCAGTGCCGAGTAGCCACGTGGCCAGTCCGAGCTGTCCACTGGCCCCGTACAGAGCAGCATGCAGGCCGTCACGCAGAGCAGAGTTGTTCCTTGAGGGGCGGTGAGGGGAGAGGAAAGGAGCGGGTTGTTGGAGAAGTGTGAGGCGCAGGGTACGGTGGTTTTATTGAGCTGTGCCTAAGAGTGTCCTTTGCTCTCTCAGAGATACCGAACCAAGCCGTACTGCTGTGGCCTCTGTACATACTCTACCAAGGTGCTCACGTCGTTCAGAAATCACGTCCATCGCTGCCACGAAGATGAGCTTGACCAGGAGCTGGTGATCCCATGCCCGAACTGTGTGTTTGCGTCGCAGCCCAAAGTCGTAGGAAAGCACTTCAGGATGTTCCACGCGCCTGCTCGGAAGGTCCAGAACTACACGGTGAACATTTTAGGCGAAACTAAATCATCAAGAAGTGACGTGATAAGCTTCACTTGCCTGAAGTGCAGTTTCTCGAACACACTGTACTACAGCATGAAGAAGCACGTGCTGGTGGCCCACTTCCACCATGTAATCAGCTCCTACTTTGGCCTGAGAGCGGAGGGGTCCGGCGAGCCTCCTGACAGCAGTGGGGCAGCCTGTGTGGAGAAGGCCCCGCCCTCAGACAGGTACTTCTGTAAGAAGTGCAGTGCTGACGCCAGCAGCCAGGACGCACTCATGTACCACATCCTGACGTCGGACGCCCACAGGGACCTGGAGAACAAGCTCAGGTCTGTGATCTCGGAGCACATCAAGAGGACCGGACTCTTGAAGCCAACTCATATCGCCCCCAAACCGGGGGCGCGCGTGGCCATCCCGCGGAACGGTGGCATCCCAGGCATCCCAGCCCAGCCTTCTTGCTTCCATCTTGCCTTGCCGCAGAGCACTCAGAGCCCGGCCGCGGTGCAGCCAGTGTCATTGCCCGCAGGTACTTCTGGGAGCCTCACCCACTCTCCTCCCGCCATCGCCCCGTCTCACGTGACCCTTGTCTCCAGTTCTGTGCCAGTGGGCCAGAACAGCCTCGCTCTGCAGCCCTCGGCTTCTCAGCCTGTCTTCCTCTCTCACGGGGTCCCTCTCAGCCAGCCAGTGACACCTTCTGTGCTGCCCCTGAGCCAGCCAGTTGGGCCTGTAAATAAGTCCCTGGGAACGGGCATCCTCCCCCTGAGCCCGACTGTGCGCCCTGGGGTTTTACCGCTCGCTCAGCCTGTTGGGCCCCTAGCCAGACATGCTGGGCCTGGAGTCCTTCCTGTCAGCCCCTCTGTTGCTCCTGGGGTCCTGCAGGCGGTCTCCCCAGGAGTGATTTCTGTGAGTCGGGCAATGCCATCCGGGGTCCTTCCTACAGGGCAGGGGACCCCTGCTGGGGTTATCCCTGGGCAGACAGCCACTTCTGGGGTCCTTCCTACCGGCCAGATGGTTCAGTCGGGGGTCCTCCCTGTCGGCCAGACGGCCCCATCACAGGTTCTCCCTGCTGGCCAGACAGTCCCACTGAGAGTTCTCCCTGCAGGCCAGGTGGTCTCCTCTGGGCTGCTCTCTGCCAACCAGACCGTGTCCTCAGGTGTTGTTCCTGTGAGCCAGGGTGTGCGCCCAGGGGTTCTCCAGTTCAGCCAGCCTGTCATGTCTGGAGTCCTCCCTGTGGGCCCACCCGTGAGGCCTGGGGTCCTGCAGCTCAGCCAGTCTGTCAGCACCAACATTCTGCCTGTGACCCAACCCGTGAGGCCTGGCACCTCGCAGAGCGCCACTTTCCTCACCTCGGGCTCTATTCTCCGACAGCTCATCCCTACAGGGAAGCAGGTGAATGGGATCCCGACCTACACCCTGGCCCCGGTGTCTGTCACTCTGCCTGTGCCTCCCACAGGTGTCACAACTGCTGCCCCTCCGCAGGTGCCCATCCAGCTCCTGTCCCCGGGCACCCCCGCCCAGCTGGCTGGCTCCATGGCCGGCCTGCCTGCACCCCCAGTGCTGGTGGGGGCCGCACAGAGTGTGCTGACCCAGGCCCCCGTGGCGGTGGCGGACGCCCCGCAGGCACTCAGGCAGGCCAAGCAGTGGAAAACCTGCCCTGTGTGCAATGAGCTCTTCCCCTCCAACGTGTACCAGGTGCACATGGAGGTCGCTCACACACATGGTGAGGCCAGGCCCGGTGAGAAAGCAGAGCCTGAGAGACTGGCAGCCTGTGCGCCCTTCTTGAAGTGGGTTAGGGAGAAGACGGTGCGCTGCGTGTCCTGTCGGCGCCTGCTCTCCGAGGAGGAGCTCATCCGCCACCTACTGGTGCACGGTCTGGGGTGCCCGTCCTGCCCGCACACGTTCCACGACATCCAGGCACTCTCAGAGCACAGCAGGACCGTGCACCTGGGCCGGAGGGTGCCGCCTGCCGATGGCGGTCACAAGGGCTTCCGCCTGGACGTGGACGCCGACGGTACGTTGCTCTTCCCTCACCTCGATTTTGTCACTGTGCTGCCGCAGGAGGAGCTCGGGGAGCGGGAGGTCTACTTGGCAGTCCTTGCTGGGGTGCATGCCAAGTCACTGGTGCCCGTGTACGTGAAGGTGCGGCCTCAGGCCGGTGGTGCCCCAGCGAGCCCCAACAGATGCGTGCTGACCTGCCCTTTTTGCTTTGGCACCTATGCACGGACGGAAGCGTATGAGCTGCACCTGAAGGAGCGGCATCACATCATGCCGACGGTGCACACGGTCCTCAAGTCTCCAGCCTTCAAGTGCATCCACTGCTGCGGGGTCTACACGGGGAGCATGACCCTGGCAGCCATCGCCGTGCACCTACTGCGCTGCAGGAGTGCTCCCAAGGACAGCAGCTCCGACTTGCAGGCCCAGCCTGATTTTATTGAGAGCAGCGATTTGCTATTAGTCAACGGTGAAGTGATACATGATGCCAGCTCTTCCGTAAAGAGAAAGCTGCCCGACGGCCACTGTGGAGCAGAGGACCAGAGGGGCAGGGCAGAGCAGCCTCCCCTCCCTGGAGCCGATGCGTCCTTGGGTCTGGAGAACGCGACTGGTGGTGTGCCTTTTAAAAGACAACGGAGCGATGGCCGGACAGATGGGCCAGCTGCCGACAGTGCCCTCCAGGTCCTGGCACTGGATCCTAAGAAGTATGAAGGCCGTTCTTATGAAGAAAAAAAGCAGTTTCTTCGAGATTATTTCCATAAGAGACCGTATCCTAGTAAAAAGGAGCTAGAATTGTTGTCCTCCCTTTTATGGGTGTGGAAGATTGATGTGGCTTCATTTTTTGGGAAAAGGAGGTACATTTGCATGAAAGCAATAAAAAATCACAAACCCTCTGTTCTTCTAGGTTTCGATATGTCTGAGCTTAAGAATGTTAAGCACAGATTGAACTTTGAGTACGAGCCACAGAACTTGTAAAACTAGTAAATATTGAGTGCTAGGTAATAGATTTTCAGATTTAGTATGAGGTTTTTTAAATGTTCCCTTCACTGTGTTGAATTGATCAATTTCAGTGGTCTTTATGCTGCTCTTTAGTTTTTTTTTCAGGTGCTCAGAAAGATCCCTGTATAGGGAAGTGAATAGTTCTTTCAGATATATTGTTTCAGTTTGGTTTGTAACAATTATTTTCAGTTTTTTTGTGTCATATAAATTAAATCTTTGGATCTTCATGCACGCCTTATTTCCCTGGTAGTTCAGTATTGTATGATGAATTGAAATCTACAAACACTTGCCTTTTCATTTAAGGAAATTTCATCCTGTTTCAGAATACTCACTGAACTGCAGCTCAAAGCATGCTCTCCTTGACTTTCCCTGCGCAGCAGAGACGCGGTTTGTGCTCAGGTGGCTGGCTATCCAGGTCCCTGTGCTACAGGTGGTTCCTAAGATGCCCGCGACAACTCACAGTGGTTTCTCCTCTGAAGGCTTTGTGCCTAGCAGATCATAATTTTTACTATATGTATTTTTGTCCCAGCAGCTCTTTTTTTGTCGTAACTCACAGGAAATCAGTTCATTGGTTAAAAATACACTGAATCAAGTCTTCAGTGTAGCTCATAAACTGAGTTATTTTACAACACAGTAATTCTGTAGGTGCAGAAATACTGTCTACTGTAGACTTTTCCCCTCTTCTGTCACTTCTCCATTCAAAGGTAAGATACGAATCTTCAGTGCCTTTAGAATAAACATTGACAGAACTCACAGGGAAACTCTTCTCCTGCCTAATTGCTCATGACCCAGTGAAGGAGAGGGCCGTGGACTCAGGACAAGCTGCCCGCACATGGGCACTGGCTGGAATTCAGGCCTTGGCTTTCAGGGGCACAAGGAGAGATGAGTAGAGTAAGTCCGGAATGTTTCCTGGAGGTCTGTGCCAGTCCTTCGTGTTGGGAAATGGCTTTTCCCAGCCCAGTTGTGCAGGTGAAGGCGACGGTGCTGCTGGAGATCTCCTTCCTGTGCCACTGTCCTCGGATGGTAAGCCTCGTGTTTCCCCAGTCAGTATAGAGTAACACGCCAGCAGGGGAGAACAGCCCGCAGAGACTGTAACATACCTGGGGATGCACAGCAGAGGAGCTGGTCCAGCGTCTGTAGGCAGAAACGCTCGGAGGTGTGAAGCCTCCGGGAACTAACGCAGCGCTACTCTGTGGACCTAGAAACCCAACTCTTGCATGTAGTCGCTGTGATGTGCATTTTGAGGCGATTGTGAAACTGGTCTGTGATTGTTGGTGTTCTCTTGTAAATTCAAAAAGAGAACTTGTTGAACTTTATCATTTTTTTTTACCTATTGTTTTCAGAGTGTCTATTTTGAATTAAAATTTGTTACACCACTGCAACTGGAACTGTTGGACTCTTTGAGCAGTTGAACCCTACGTGACGCGGTAATGCCCAGGCATGGGAGTCAAGACCGTGCTTACTTTCTGAAGAGAGTTGTTATCGTGTGAAAATAAGTCTGCATAGCCCGTGGGGCAGGTTATTGTACCAGGGCCACCAAGTAGATGTGGCTAGAGGTTCCTGATGTCCCACGATGGCAGCCAGAGTGTCAAGGGAGACACCAGTGACACAAAGCTGGCCTTCTGTGGCTGTGCCAGGTCAGCTTTGGCAGAGGAGACGGGGCACCATGGCAGGGCAGCTGCTGCCTGGCAGGGGTCAGGCTCCTTGGCATTACCTCTTGTTCTGTAGGCGACTGCCATGTGCCTGTTGAAGGCTGTGCAGTGCTCAGCCCGCACCCACTGTGCCAGCATCACGCCGCGCACGGCCCAGAAGTGGCTGTGGGGGGGCAGGTGTGCTGAGTGATGCAAGGGCTTTGGTTCCGGACTGTGCCTTGGCCACCAGCTGTCTTCACACTGGGTCGAAGGGTATGCCGGTGCTGGCCACAGGCAGCTTTTTCAGGCACAGAGATCAACGTTTTATAGAAGGCGAACTTCAGAACACCGAGTTCTCACAAGTATAAAGTGGAAGTGAGTTTATTGTTTAAAATGAAATGAGTTACAGATTTGTTCGATGGCGAAGTTCTGTTTCCTTCATAAGAGCGGTGCCCTTGATGAGTGTCACTGATTCTCCCAGCCAGGACTGCAGGTGCTCATGGCTCGTCCAGAGTTGTCACGGCCCAGGGTCTGTACCCAGCCCCCCATGGTCGAAGTTCCTGACCGCGGTGTCTGTCCCTCACCCCACAGCTGGACCAAGTGGGGAAAATGTTTAAACTGCCATTAAAGGAAAGAAGTTCTTTTTGTATATGATGGTTGCAGAAAGCAACCATCCATGTATTAAAAATGTATTTAATCTGCCTATATAGCAGCTACTTAAAAAACACTACATAGTTGAAGTCTGTTAAAAGATGTAGCATCCTGGGACCAGCAGTTAGCGTAATGGCTATGTCACTGGATTCCCACGAAGTTGACCGTGGTTTGCGTCCTGGACCCAGTGGCTTAAAACTCACGTCGGGCGCGTGTGTGTGCATGCCCAAGATCCCGAGAGGAGAATGGAGGAGAAGGGACTGCAGCGTGGCCATTCCCCCTGGGTGGTGATTTCTTGCTTTCTGTCTGTCTGTCTGGTGAGCGCATGCGCCCTATAGCAAAAACCTCTTAAAAAAGAGGCAGCATCTCTGAACCCCGTTACCCTCCGGATCCATTTCAGTCATGATTGTTGAGTAGTTCTGCGCTTGGCGTTCACTAAACAAAGCAGCATGTGGCCTCACATTGAGAGGGAGAGAAGAATTTGGCCTCAGAGTGCTAGCCTAGGTTTACATTAGCTCTAGGGCCTTCCTAAAGTGAGGGCAAGAGCTGGCCGCTGGACCTGGCCAACATGCCGGCATGGGAGTGGCCATCCGTGGAGCGTGTGGTCCTCTGCACTGCCACTAGCATTCTTGTGCACTGGGACATTTCGTCCTGCAAAGTGGCGGCCTCCTGTCTTACGTGAGGAAGTTGGGGCAGAGAGGGGAAATCACTTGCCTGAAGGAGGGTGTTTGTGAGGGACAAAGGGGGAACCACTGGTGGCCTGGCCTTGTGTTCTTAGTGATAGGGTACGTTACTGTACACAGGTGTTAGCCCCTCTGAACCTCAATCTTAGGGTGTGGGTGCTACTAGGTTACCTGCATTTGTGGATGGAGAAACAGGCTCACAGGTAGGTTGACCAGCTGTTAGTGAGCTCGGCACCCAAGGGGTTCTCTGGACTTTAGGCTAGAATTGGAAGCTTCCAGGCAAATGGGCAAGTCTGTTAGCACACTCAAATTTCAGTCTGCTTGCCTCATGTCACAGCGATGTCATGGTACTTCAGATGTGTACATAGTTCTTCAGGTATTTCGAGATTCAGGGCATTCCTAGTATCTTCCTGGCAGTGACATGAAGGTAGCCACCAGACCCGCAGTACCAGGCACCATCCCCACGGCATTGTGCAGGGTCGTAGTCCGTTACTGCATTGCCAACGGGGATGCCCAAACGGGGCCTACGGGAACAGAAGCTCCTGACTCATTCTGGTGGCTGGAAGGTCCAGAGGTGTGAGGCTGATCACAGCACGGCAGAGGACAGTCTTGAGCAGGACAGCTGTCCATCGGTTTCTGTCTCACTCTCTGCTTATAAACCCAGCAGAACTCAGTGGGCCCTGCCCAGATGACATTTTTAGTGTGAAGGGATTACATTTTCACTTAATGCTTACATGCAGTCAAGTCCCAACCACTAATTTCTGGGGGAGCTGTCCAAATTCAAAAGGAGGAATGATCCAAACCATAACCTGGTAATGACATAAACTTGAAAATGACCTAGTGGTAACCGAGACTGAAAGGGAAGTCCTGGTGGACACAGCAGGGACGGTCGCAGCTCTGCTGCTCTGTGGTGGCCTCCCATGTCACTTGGAAGCCTGGCAGAGCTTCACTGAGGAGTGAACACCCATCCAATGACCCCTGGAAATGTTTCAGCTTTCAAAATGTAACCCTTTGTTGTTTATGCTTTGAATATTCTCAAGTGAGTCCCATCTCACCAGCAGTGGGGATGTCTTCAGTGCTGTGTCCCTAATTGTAGGAGTGCATCTGCTAATTCAGGCTTCTGCATTTCAGCTTTTTTTCTCTGTAGAAATGAAGTCACCGTTCCAGAACTAACCCGCTGTAATTATTAGTCTTTAATATCAACAAATTTGATACTGCAGAGCAGTGATCAACCTCTGGCACCAGTGGCCTGTGTCGTGGAAGACGGTTTCCTGTGGGTGGGGCCTGGGGGACGGCTCAGCACACTACATTTACTGGGCACTTTGTTACTGGCCCGTCGTGGTATATAATGACACATCTACACAGTTCACCACCACGCAGGGTCAGTGGGAACCCTGGGATGTTTCTCTGCAATGGAGATGCTCCCACCTGGAGGCTCTGCTGAGTCTAAGCAGCCAACACAGGAGGCGGAGCTCTGGTGATGCGAGCTACCAGGCTCTGTGCGTAGATGGAGCTCTGCTCGTTCCCACACTCCTCCCTGTCCAGGCCATGGACCGAAGCCAGCCATTGGCCTGGGGCCTGGGAGCCCTGTCAGAGGGAAGCTGCTTCCCTAGTCAACGGGGGTGCCTGGATATGCTTCATACTTGAATACACAGCAGTGTCTACACTGGGCAGCAGTTTGTGGACCCACCAACCACCGAGTAAGAAATGTGACTGCGTTTCTTCAAACTTAGAAAGTTGAAAACGTCAAACCTCAGGACATGAGATTTTAGTCACACTCCGTCAAAAGGGTGTGCATTTACTGTTAAGCTGAAGGCACCTGAGGGTGACCTAGACTGGACTGCCCTCCGGGGGTGCGCCTTGCAGCAAATGTCATGCCTACTTCACGGGGGCTTTGCGTACAGTTCTTGGAAAAGGGACTTAAGTGTATGTTTCGATGCAAAAATTTTTGAAATCTAGTTTTCCAGACATTTTGAAGATCTCATATCTGAAAGGGGTCTTTATGCCCCTCACAGGTTGAAACAAATATTGAATCTTTGAGAAAGTCATGATGCGTTTTTGGATAGAAAAACAAAAAAAAACACATGCTGACTTCCTGATGCCGAATAGTAACAGCGGCTGCGCACACCATGATGTAGCTGTGTGTTTTGAAATCATGCTCCTATCTAGTGGCCACTGCTGGTTTTCTAAGACTTCTTTCTTTTTCTTTTTCTTTTTCTTTTTCTATTTCTTTTTTTCCTTTTTGCCATAGGGTGTGGGATACAATTACAGCG